AAAAAAAATGATGCTATGACGTTAAAATTAAAACTGCTCCCGAAATGCGAGTACGACGCGATAGACTAGAAATCAAAGGAGTGGGAGAAGTAAGTAATGGTAATATAAGTAATATAAGCAATACAAACACATTTTCAGTTCGACCCTGTGATTTTGTGCATGCGACTAAAAATCAATACGGAGGATTGGCAAGGATTACCATTAGAAAACTGGATATCCGCCTTCAAGAACAAAAAGAAGTGAGGACTTTTTAAGTCCATGTAAATCATACCAGCGCTTGGTCCGCTCAGTCTACCAGGACTGGAATCAGAAAGGGAATCGGAAAAAGAGCCGCCGGAAAAAGAATCTGCCGAGAAAGAAATTGGAAAGGAAAATGAGAATGAAGCTGGAGGTTCGTACTCCCAAGCAGTAAGTTAACAGAATAATAATATTAACCAACCACCAAAGTTTTGGTTTAGGTATGTGGACAAAAAAGTAGTACAGATGAGGACGGCTTCGTATTACGCAGGATAAGAATGGGAAGCAATGAAGATAAATCATAAGCTGGCAAGATCATTTTACCTTTCCAAGTTTGAAATGTCATGGGTTTGATTTTGATTTGATTTTCCCATTTTTCCTTTTCAAATTATAGTTATTTCTCCAGGTTTACTAGCTAGTGAACCAAATTTCTCTTTTCTTCAATAAAGTTATATTGTTGACTGTATAAAAAAGATGCTATCAATTGATAGCAAGACCAATTGGTCTAAGAAAAAGCCAATAGGCACAAGTAGAACTTGCAAAAACGGACTAAACCTTTATGGAATAATATATTTTTTCATAATCCTTTGGGTATAAGTACCTTCTGGGTTTCCCTCATAAGTTTGCCAAAGCAAAAAAGGCTCTTGTCCGAAACGGCAGTAATCGAAGAATCGTCCTTATCGTTTATGTGTTAAATACTCGCTAAAATCACATTTAAGCGAATAGATGATCGAGCTGAATTATCTCCTCCAGCATTTGCAGCACTCTTAGCGCGAAGATCAATTCCCGCGAGTACCGAAAAGTAGGAAAAAACAGCCATGTTTAACAAAGCCAAGAGCAGGAAAAGGGTTGGGGTTGCCATGGGATAGGGAAGTGCAGGTAAATTGTTACCATTTGGCAAGAGGAAGTATTTTCAAATTTTTTGTGAGATCAAGTTATCCTTACAGTTCCCTTTCACATATTCGGAGTTAACGGGCGAAGTTAAGGCAAAAATCTCTGCTTTGATAAAATATTACATAGTATATTATTAGTCATGCAATTCTAAGAACTGGTATTTATGTTTTGCTTCGACTCGGATGCGTTGCGAGAAGGAAGTTCTTTATTACTTCTCATCGGCACCCTGAGAGATGCTAAATCAATACAAATTGCAAGCAATCATTAGAATTCGTGTGAGTTCCAAGGAGTTTCCCAGTTTCTTGAGAACGAATGATTTCCGATGTCCTTATAATCAATCCTTATATATATATTTTGAGTATGACTTCATTTCTTACTTCACCAGCGCAGACTTCCACACCTTTACAGGCAAAGCTCGGCAGATGGCTTATAAAGCAAGCTGGATATTGTTTTGGGATAAAAAGCAAGGAAATATCCTTTAAGCGACCCCTCCCCCTTCCCTCCCCCCACAATCACCTTCTCCCTCTTATGTCACCTTCCATCTTCTATAGAGGACAGATTGGCATTCCTGCCCAGGGTTTGGCACGAGGTGCGCAAATGACAGGCTGGAAATGGTTTTGGGTGAAAAAAGCAGAAGTTTTATCGTTTTTGCAGGGTTCGGAAAAAGCCTGGAAAAAGATTTCAACAAAGGGAGGATTCTCGATCGAAGTGGTTTCCATATGAAATATATGCTGTCTTAGAGAGCATTATTCTGAATTCTGAATTTGCTTTCGATATCTGCAAAGTGAATCTAGGAAGATAGTTATGGAGATTTTTGTGCCAAAAATTCAAGGGCTTGGCTAAGGTAAAAAAGGTAGTTATCGGCACTTGGAAGGATTAATGATTAGCATAAATCCATCAGATGAAAAAGTAATAAATGCGTAAAGCGCCTTGGCAGTAATCATGGCCCCATCTAAACTCATAGACTATATTTCCGATGGTTTAGTTGTAGCTGCACGATTGAATTTTTGCTTGAAAAGATTAACATAACTACCTTCTCAAAATCGCTTTGCAGATACGAAGGTAGATTTGAAATCAGCGTGTTATGCTCTATGAGACAGTATACATTCCATATGGGAACGCCACTTCGATCAACTGTTGTTTTCCTGTAAGTATAAGCAAAAGGAGGTCGAGTCATGCTGATCACCTCCTCCTAATTCTTTGAAAGTACGCCGCGCCGTCGCCGCGAAGAAAAAGAGTAAAAACTGAATTTGATATTTCTCGGGAACTAACATTTGTGGAAGGCTGAAAATCTATTGTACATTTCAATTTAATGATGTCTAGCCAAGGAGAAATTGCAGCAACTGCGCATATGAAT